TTTGCCTCGGTAGCAGCCGATCAGACAACAGAGAAAGACAACTGACTCTTTGTTTTGATCATCGCTTGTTTCTTTCGAGTGCAAGTTTTCGTCATACAAAAAGACAGACTGCTGCCTGGCGTCCGCCTTCTCAAATACAAGAATGGTCCCAGTTTGACCACATAGCAATAAGCTACAGATGGCACGGAAGCGTAACCAACTGCCGATGGTACTTGTTAACTTGCTATGACTCCGATCACGCACTGGTTCGCGCCAAACTTTACATGCGTTCCGGAGCATCATCCAGACTTAGGTAATACTGACCGAACGTCGAAAAGCTGCAACATCCTGAGACATTAGCCGGGTATCAGGCTTCTCTGTCAACACTAATAGCTTCATCCTCTGACGATGGTCTCAATTCGCAATGGATGCGCATCAAAGACGCTTTAACTTCTGCCAGTACTGTCAATTGTGGATTTGCTTATCACCCGCCGAGAAGCTGGATCACCACTGCCTCCTTGTCGCTGATGGACAAACGCCGCTTGCTCCTACCCATCATCATCATCATCATCATTACACGTTAGCTGGAGGTGGAAAACACCTCAGCTATTGTGCCGCAATACAAAATAAAAGAAAAGGAAAAGTGACAAACAGTGGCAAGCCCGCTGAGTCCCCAGTGACGGATGGACATCGTTCCGGAGAGCTAACAGCTGGCTGCCGTAAAAAGAGAATCATATTATGCCTAACAGGTGAGATCGTGATTGGAGGGGGATACTAAACAGGAGGGGGATGGGCAAAGGAAATCACAACACAAACGCCACTGGTGCCGGCTCCGAGCCATATCAGCAAGTGTGTCCAACCAAACGTGTTCACCGTCCTTAGGACCCCAGCCAGGCAGTCGGGATGCACCAACCGACGCCAACTTCGAAGTGAGAGTTTTCATTCCTCTCGACCAAGTCATCACTTGGCCTCCCCTCCTCTTCTTCCAACCGCACCCACAACGCGCAAACAATGCACGTCGCGGGAGTCGGTGTGCTGGCATGCGCAACACATGGCCCAGCCATCGGAGCCTGGTGCGTGATATAATGGTGCTGAGCGGTTCACTCGCTCTTCCTGCACCAAATACGCGACGTCGAACACGATCATTGCTCACGCGGTGTTCCCACCAGACATGAGCTAAGCTGCGAAGGCAGCGATGATCGAATGTGACGAGTCTCTTCATGTCAGTCGACCTGATGGGCCAGGTTTCACAACCATATAGGAGAGTTGAACGGACGGCTGCGTTGTAAACTCTGCCTTTCAGGGCAAGAGTAATGTCGCGTCTGCGCCACAGGTGGCGGAGATTGGCAAAAGCACCTCGAGCTTTTGCTATGCGGTTCGTAACCTCATCTTCAATCCCACGGGTGCTAATATAGCTGCCCAGGTACTTGAATTCCTGAACGACTTCTAGCAGATCACCACCAAGCGTTAGCGCAGGGTTGGGTCCCTGCCAATCTTGGAGAAGTACTTTGCATTTCGATGGAGCAAAGCATAGCCCAAAACGATTGACAGCCAGTGCTAATCGGTCTAGTGCTCTTTGGCATGTTTGGAGGCTGTCACAGATTAGGGCAATATCGTCCGCATACTCCAAGTCAAGAAGTCGCTCACCAGGAAGTAGCTCCACACCATCTAGGTCGTGTCCAGCGAACGCTGTTTCTATGACTTCATCAATAGCGAAGTTGAAGAGGAAAGGTGACAGCGGGCATCCTTGTCTCACGCCGCTGGTGATACTGAAGGGTGGCGACAGTTTGCCATAAACCCTCACCCTGCCCAAACTATGCGCGTACAGCGCTTTGATAATGTTTACATATTTATCAGGCACACCTTTCCTCAGCAGACAGTCCCAAAGGGCACATCGATCGACCGAATCGAAGGCACCTTTTATGTCAAGAAACACGACAACGGTGGGTCGCCAATAAACATGTCGGTGCTCCAACAATTGACGCAATGTGAAGATGTGGTCGATGCAGCCCCGACCTCGACGAAATCCGGCTTGCTCTTCACGAATCTGGCTTTCACGAGTGCCAGTCAGTCTGTGGAGAATGACAGAGGCAAGCAATTTAGAGGCAATCGAAATCAGACTGATCCCTCTATGATTGCCGCATTCCAAACGAGAGCCTCCCTTGAAAATTGGGACAATGACGGAGCGGTTCCAGTCTGTCGGGACTGTCTTCTGCTCCCAAAGTTTTACTAGCAACTTGCGTAGATCATCTACTAGAGCAGGCCCCCCGAATTTGAAGAGGTGGGGAATTTATCTCTCCTGAGGCTTATGCAATTAAGCTCCTACCCGACACCAGCTGTAATGAGGAACGCTGATCCCTGGATCGAGCGTTGCGCAGGAGCTTACAAAAGGATCGTGAGACTTGGTGGTGTGAACATGCTAGAGAGCTGGAACTTGCTAATCGCTCTGGTAATAACAGAAAACTGTTCCACCTCATCCGAGTCACTGAAGGATTCCGATCAGGAATAAGCGAAACAATCGGCGAAGTTGATGGCTCCGTAATCACTAATCTTCGACGACGGTTGAAGCGATGGGCCGAACATTTTCGCTTGCAGGTTTTTCTGACCTCCAGCTCCATCTGTTTCTCCTGGGGCGCTCATTGGTAAGGAATGGACTATCCCAAATGATCCTCCTTCTCACCAGGAAATCTGCCAAGAACTCTGCTGCCTAAAGCGTTATAAGGCACCCGGCCCTAATGGCCTACCTCCTGCTCTACTTAAAGATAGGGGCTCTTCTCTGGTTTAAGAATACATCGCTTTGTTCTCAGAAGTCTGGACAAAAGAGGAGGCTCCATCATCCTGCTTTGCGTCGATAGTCGTCGCCGTCTTCCAAAAGGGCCTACACACAGATTGTTCCAATTACATGGGCATAAGTTTGATTCCCGTCGTTGGAAAAATTCTGGTGTCCACCATTCTTCGCAGGCTATCCCTAACGCATGAATCAGTACAGCGAGAAGCACAGACTGGGTTCCGCTCTGGTCGCGGCTGCATCGATCAGATTTTCACACTCCGCCAAATTCTCGAACTGCTATGTGTGTCAAAAGCCAACGGTTGTTGTATTCCTGGATATCTGTACTGCCTTCGATTCTGTTGACAGGGCTGCATTGTGGCACTGTCTGTTAAGGAATGGTATTCTCGGGAAGTTCGTTTCCATTCTGCGTTTTCTGTATAGTCTGACCTCGGGTAGAGTTAGAGCTTATGACAAGCTTTTGCCTTTTTGTTATCACCAGTGGTGTTTGTCAAGCTGCTCTAGCTCTCCATTTCTCTTCAACTTTGCCATTGAGGATGTCTTCAAAAATGCTCTAGAAACTTGTTGAATGTTGGCGTTGAGCTCCTCCCAGTTAGTCGGGTGATTGATTTGTATTCGCTGATGGTATCGTCTTGCTGGGTGACAGTCCGCAAGCCCTCCAACTTGCACTTAACCACCTGGCGATTGAAGCGTCGAAGTGCGACATGCCCTTTTCACCATCCAAGTGCAAAGTGCTATTTCAGCTGACACAGCTGATACATTATTATTATTATTATTATATAGTATTATTATGGGGAGACGTTAGAAGTAGTACAGAGTTTTGTCTACCTGGGGAGCTGCATAACTGCTGGCGGGGCCGTTGGAAACAAGATTTTGATGCGTATCTCAAGAGCTCGTCTCGTCTTCTCGAGGCTGAGGCATTTATGGCGCCGCTATGACATCCGTCTCTCGATCAGAGGACAGGTTTATAGTGCCACTGTCTGGTCTGTACTGTTGTACGGTTGCGAGGCTTTGTCCGCGCGTACTGATGACTTACGTCGACTGTCTGTCTTCGAGATCCGTTGCTTACGGTCCATAGCCCGTGTGTAGTGGCTGAGTCACTTAACCAACGCTGAAGTCAGACAGCGTGTCTTGGGTGGATGCAGCCACTCCCTCCAGAGGCTTGTCCCGCTGCGCCAACTACGATGGCTCGGACACCTACTGCGTATGCCCGTTCAGCGTCTTCCGCGTCATGCCTTGTTCGCGGTCGCTGGACAGGGCTAGAGGAGGCGAGGTAGTGGACCGCCTACAACTTGGAGAAGCAGGATGCAAAAACTGATAAAACATCTGTCCACGGTTGGTTCCTCCCGACTCCCTGGATGGGGTCCCAAGGATGCTGAGCGCAGTTGGTTAGAAACCTTAGAAGTCATGGCTTGAAACTGAACTTAGTGGCGAACGTGTGCCTTTGCTTACTACAGTGTTTCCCCTTCCCTCCCCCACTAAACAAACGTCAGACAACTCAAAAACGGAGTGGAAATATGGACAAAAATTTGTTTGAGACCACTGAGCTACGGAGAACAGTAACGACCATTGTGAATTAGTTACTAGATGTGAAATGGCGCCGCTCACTATCCACTAACTTACACCTTACTGCCGTGCAGAGGATAGGGTAGCCCCTTCAACAAACGACCAGCTTACCAAACGTAAGCCGCCAATTAACTTATGGCATTATAAGCAGTTTGGTCTGCGTACTGATTACATAGGAGTAGAAGGGGGAGTTGAATGATAAGCTCGTCGCTTGGTGCGGGGTCTACCCTATATATATATATATATATATATATATATATATATATATTTGCGAAAAATTCAAATGAAATGGACTAGACTTGCGGATATGGGTGGATCAGAAGTTGCGTTAGCCTCAGACTACGCTACATGGTCTAGTTGTGCAATGATATATGTGCTTTGGCAGACAGTTCAGTGGACGCTAAGGGGTCTGTTGTCAGACCGACTTATTTTGACCAACTTTGCCTTAGAAATTTCACTACTTACTCATCTAGTTGTTCGTTATCAAGCTTCGTCATTCTGGTGAATTCTTTTTTGAATTTGCTCACGTTTAACTCAACGCGTTTGACCCACCAGACCAAGAAAGATTTGAGGCCCCTTTCTTCATATTGATCAAATTTTCTGCGCAGTGTGTGCCATTCGCTCTACCTTCAGTCAGCTCCCTGGTGCGTGTCAGAAATTAAGAACGGTTTTCATCCAAAGCCTTTAACTCAGGATCGATCATAAAGAACAAAAACTGGACTGATAAACAGAAATAATGGTCAAAAAGCTAAATTTAAGCAACAAAAGCAAGGATAAACGGAATTAACAAATCGTGTCTTAAAGTGATCCTTCAACATGTAGGTTATTGCGGGGCATCCTTTTAGCAACGCGAGTCGGTGTGTTTGGACAACACCAGGTCCAATTGCAGCAGCCAGTGCAGTTACATAAACTTCGCTTTTTCGTTCTTCTTAATTCCATGTATCCACGACAATGATCATCGATGTCAGTCTCCGCAGTCTTTCCGGATGATTGGACAACTGGAATCCTTAAGGTTATTGGTCGCCGAATACGCCTGCCCTAGAGTTTTGCAAATGAAACATTGAGATACACCTTTGACACTTTATTCGTGTGAAATGGGTGTTTCATTCTTACGACAAATAAGCCAATTACACATATTTAAAATAACTTATCTAAGCTCCGGGGGATTCCGCTTGAAGTGTGCTGTGTTGTAAATGTCATTCCTTTTCTTTGAATTTTCGGAAATAACACCCATGTGGACAATCGTCCGGCACGAACATTGTGCCCGTAATAGAGTTCACATTGTTTGCTCCATTCTGACTGCTTTCCCCCCTTAACGCTATCTCGCGATTACGGAACAGCACGTTCCTGATGCGTAATCAATTACCATAAATGGCCTGTACACCCACATTGTTTATACATGTTGATTAGCAGCATTGCCTACGACCTTACATTTTGAACCTGGACCATGATAATGCTCTGTAAGTAAGAGCATATGGTCATTGCCCGACTCCACTCATCATTCGTCATCGTTTGAGGACGTCTCTCTCTTTGTGGTACTGCGTGATGTTCGTGGATAAGTTCAGATAACAACTTCAATCACTCACAAGCAAATCTTGCGATGTATCTTTGAAGAGACTTCGCGCTCTCTTCCGTGAACTTAGCGAAACGCGATAACCTGTATCGTTTACTGGGAAGAGCTGCTCAGCATAGTTATATGAATGCGATCTTTGCCGCTTACTTGTGTTTTCTGCAGACATGCACCCCACATTCGACCCGATATAGACTTCCTTCTTCCTGGTCCAGGAATGCGACATCGGCATTCATCACTTAGTGCTAACAAATGCCATACAAACCTCTCGCAATTGTTTCTGTCGTTATATAAATGTCCGTGAAATATAGCACCGTGCTCGATAGGAAATCTCGACTCAAACACAGTACTGGGATCTAGCAATCACGTATCGGAAAGACAACAGAAATCCATAACGAGGGATTCCAATGTGTGCGCGAAACCAGCCTGTTGCCCGATCTGCATGAGTGCACATACATTACAGTATGCCAAATGGAATGAGGGTCAGGGTCTGAAGAAGAGCCATGGGGCGAACTCTGATCGTCAACGAAACCATCCGGAGTAGAATCATGGAAAGAGGAATGGGCTGGTAAAAAGGTAAAATGGTTGTTAACAAACGATCGTGTGTCGTGTTAAGGCGCATGAGCAGCGAAAGCAAATGCAGTTGAGCGCTGTTAACCTAATAACGATCCGTGGATCTGCAAATGGGCGTGATACTACCCAATTGCCCAAGCCGAAGTATGAAGCTGTCTTAGGGGACACCACTCGGAGCCTTTGGCTAGATATCCTATCCGCAAAGCAGGGAATCCTGCGCATTGGGAGCCGAGTACTCAATCCATACAACCTTGTTTGGTCGGTAACCAAACAAGGGCCCAATACCCCTATGATGTGAGAGTACACTTACTTGAGTGCGATGCTCCACCGAGGTGAAATAAGAGGCATTGACTATTTAGTAGCAAGCTACAGTGTTGTTAAACAGATATATAAATATATATATATATATATATATATATTACAGGGAGAACGATTGCCAGATGAAAAACCCCCACATCCTAGAAAACTGCCGCTGAACACAGCTGAAACGGCATAGAACCGAACTGTCCACGCCACGCCGCGAAGCCTTGACGACTATACGGCTTGTAGACTTAAGGATTGCAGGCCTGTCTTGTCGTCTGATGTCACGCTTTCTAGCTTGAATGTTGTTCGGTCGAGCATCGCTCGGCTGGTGGTGATTGCGCGACCGCGAATATTCGGTACTGCATACCGTCGTACTGGTGATGCTTTTCTTCTCCCTAATCCAGTCCCCTTAATGTATATTTAAGCGGTGAAGTTTTGGTAAGACCAGAATGTTAAAATTGTCTTAGGCAACATGAGCAGATATAATCGCTCCATTCCTCTTCATATTTATTGGATTTGTTCTTGCAGATTTGTTGTACAGAGAGAGGCCGGTACGCAGTACCGACGCTCCCCTACCGTGCAACCACCACCAGTCCCACGTGGGCTATGGATACTTCTAGGTTCTCCCGGTTCACTAGGCAGTCTCGAACCCCCGTCCTTGGATTTAATGGAAAATTGTGTTCCTTAAGTTTACTTACTAATGAAGCTGTGGGAGCTGGATAACGTTTCGGCAAGCTGGAGTTGCTCCGGTATGGTGTCGATCTTCTGAAAGGCTTACGTTCATTATGCGACAATCATAGATGGAGCAATCTGATCTCAACTGCCGCTACCTTACTTGCCTCGAGCATTTTCCATTGACTGGCCGTGATTTGTGAAAGCCGTATTCTCGAGGAGCAAACCGGTTTTCGTCGTATTCGGGTTGCACTGATCACCTCTTCGCATGGCGTCAGTTGATGGAGCACCACTATATAAACTAGTAAGCAACCTTGTGTCCGACGACATCGTATTTACCTTCGATTCGGTGGATCGATGTACCCTCCGGGACTGTCCACTCAGGAAAGTTGTACTCGATAAATATGTAAATGTCAAAAGACCGTGATATGCACGTACTTCGGGCAGGCTGAGTGCTTATGGCAGACTGTCCCACTCATGCTGTGATCTGAAGTATGTAGGCAACACGAGCAGACTGTACAGAATCGGACTACGCCTACTTTTGCACTTGGATACAGTTTCCGCACTAGGTCTGAAGAGGTTGCCACTCGCCTGTTCTCTTCATTATAAGGCCGGTACTTGAGTACGGCTCACCTGCTTATTGTCCGATCACAATAGGTGAGGAGCAGAGAATGGAATGGGTTCAGCATGTAGCTAGCTGGCTCATTCCCAGTTAACGGGGCATGTCGTACATGTCTCCGATGTAGGTGACTAGGGCTGTATGCCCTATCATATTGTCGGGTTCGAGTTGTTTTCAAAATGACGCACCGGCTATTGCGTATGAGCCACTTCCCCATGCTAAAGTTGCTGCTGCACGTTGGCGCACCAAGCAGCACACGCGGACACCGGTACCAACAATCGGTACCGGATTTGAAGGGAATCGCTGACCGTCCATACTTCGAGCATCGTGTGGTGAAATATCGGAACAAATTGCCGGAGACGCTAGTCAAGGTGAAATCGGTGTCAGAAATTCCTGGACGCCCACCTTGCGAATTACGGGTATATGAAGCGTATCGCATTCCGGTAAGATGTAATGCAGATGTAATATGCTGCCACTGCGTAGGAAGCAGTGACGTCATTCCGTGCAAGTGCCCGATATAATTACGACGGGGCAACATATATTTAAATCTTCCCGTTCTCTGAGTTCAGTATTCAGTATTCTTGGATAACTCCACTTGTGTGAGATAAGGATGCCTTTTGTCACCCTTCCTTTTTGACTTCACCATTGACGAAATCATGCAAATGGCATTCGTCGGACACGACCTACAAGGCGGGCAGTTGCTCCTAGGTTTTTCACCTCTTGACTTCACCTACGCTGACTAGGTTGCGCTTATCTGTGAAAGCTCTTAAACGTTCCAATCAGCAGTGGATAGGTCATAACCTTGCCAAACGTTTTGGGCTATGCTTTGTGCTCTCGAGATTAAAAGTCCTTCTCAAAAATCGGCAGGGATGCACTCATGCGCCGAAGCTTGGTAGTGATCCCCCGGAAGTCTTCAATAAGTTCAAAAATCTTGACAGCTATATTAGCGTCCGTTTTCTTGAAGATGAGATCACGAATCATATGGTGAGTGCTCGCGGCGCTTTTGTCAATCTCAGCCATCTCAGCGACATCACTCGCTCTGGAGGGCGAGGTTTATAATGCAGCCGTTCATTCAACACTCATGTACGCTTGCGAAACGTGGTCCATCAGATCGACAGACAACTTTACTTTCGGTCGTCACTACCTCCGCCGCTTAGCTCATGTCTGGTGGGAACACCGCGTGAGCAATTAGCGTGTTCGACCTCGTGCATTTGGTGCAGGAAGCGCATGTGAATTGCTGCACACTGTTATTTTACGCATCGGGATTCAATGGCTGGGGCACGTTTTGTGCATGACAGCACACCAACTGCCGCGTCGTGCGTTGTGCACGCCTCTGCGGTACGTTTGGAAGAAGAAGAATAGAGGCTAAGCAATGAAGCAGTGAAGAAGAATGAAAGCGCTCACTTCGTAGTTGTCGTTGGTAGGTGTCTCCAGACTGCCGAAAGAGGATGAACAGGTTTGTTTGCACTCACTAACTGTCATGGAGAAGAACAGCCTCAGCGCTAGCAATTCCACCAGACTTGAGCGCAGCTGCGAAGGCAGCGATGGTCGAAGACAACTGGCCACTTTATGTCTGTCGACTTGATGGGCTAGGTTTCGCCACCGTACAGGTGGGTTAAAAGAACGGTTGCACTTCAGAACGTGAGTGACATCCTGCCGGCGGTACAGGTGGCAGAGGGAGGAAGAAGCACCTCCAGATTTTGTTGTGCGGTTTGTGATTTTATCTTCCGTTCCACTGGCGCTGATATATGTGTCTAGGTACCTGAATTTCTTAATGACTTTTAGCTGATCACTGCCAAAAGTTAGCGCATGATTGCGTCCCTGCCAATCCTGAAAACGGACTTTAAATTTCGAGGGTGCAAAGCATAGCCCGAAAGGACTGACAACCAACGCTAATTTATGCAATGCTACTTGTTCAGCCTGCACTTTACGGCTGTCCGGTTTAGTACCCGCAGATGGATACTCGGCCGGTGGCCGAGTGGTCTGTGCGTTTGGTTTGCAACCGTAGTGTTCCAGGTTCGAATCCACCTAGGGGTGAGCGTCGTCGCGGTTTACTCAGTCCGCGACTGGTGGTGGTCGCGTGGCAGGGAAGCTGCGCTACGGCATACAACTGACACATCATTACTATCCAGATGGATCTGTATCGCAGTTTCACCCCAGATCATGAATACGCTCGCTTTACTGCCCGGAGCAGTCTCCTTATTGCTGCACTCTGCACCAGTTGTCGCCTACAAAATGCTTAATCAATGTTCGATAGCCGCGTGGGCTAACAGCTGTATCGCTAGCGGTGTTTCAAGTGCCCGAAAATTCAGTAAACTGGTGAGGGTTTACTACTGACATGATACATGGTCGCTTTCTAGGACGAATGTTATGATTCTAGGTGAAAATCACCCACTCCTCTATATTCTTTATGAAACGTTGCAGCACTAAATGGAGTTCTCATTATGAATCCTTTGCCTCTCCTTACTCACTAATTATGACGCATGGTGTATTCAGATGATTTGCTCTGCGTATTCCTTTTCAATTGATTTGATTACTGATCGACCGCAATTCATCCAGGAATATGTTTGCGCTACACACATATTGGAGGTTGATTAAGGTTGTTCAAATAAGATGGAATCCTTGAAGTGGTACTCGATTCCTTCTCGTTACCCTCATGACAATTAGGTCATTCTAGCACTTGGCTTGGAAGTTCGCAGGTTAGGCCGTGAGAGCATGAAAACTAGTACAGAGATTACTTACATTTTGTGATAGAAGTCGTTGCCTTTCGTTCTCCAAAAACTCTAATTCCAACAGCTGCGCTCGTAGATTGCTATTGGAGCATCGCTGATTTCCATCATACCGGTTACTTGGCTCCTTTCTATGTGGGCAGTTGGCCGCTTTCCTCCATGCACGACGAGCGACGGCGTTTCGTTGTCGAATGTTGTCAGCGATCATCTGCCTTTTATTGATCAATACTACTTAAGTGCGCACTGTAGTCACGGGGCACTGTATAATCAATAAAATTCTTTATGAAGCGACGTTTGGGATCTAAACACTTCCCCTCAGGTCATACAGGATTAAAACCCACAGGACAGGACAGGTTCCAGGGACGAAGCAAGCTTTCGCTTTACCAACGTCCCGTCTCGTGTGCCAGTAAGCGAAAAGCGCTCTCAGCACTTCGACGTGCTAGAAGATTCTTGCGTTTAGACTAAAAATATTAGTAAGAGCAAACTAACCACTGCATTTTCATGGACTTGCGTGGGCTACTTACATAAGCTTCGGGGCTGCTATGAGTACTCAGACAAATACGGGGACCAGGGCCAACCACATTTTGTCTGTGCGTCGCTTGAAGTTCTCTACCGTCTTACGTTCCAATAATGTAGAGGGAAGTTTATTCCAACTAGGCACTACTCGCTTTGGGAACTTGGCTCTTTTGTTGAGCCTAGATTTCTCTCCTTTTTTAACTTTAGACTATGGCCCCGCAAGTGGTCCGATGTGGCTGGTTCAGAGGACAGGACAGAACAGGATCGAGGGACGAAACAGGCCTCCGCTTAACGAGCGTCCCGTTTCGTGTGCCAGTAAACGAAAAAGAGCCCCAGCACTGCAACTTGATAGAATATTCTTGATTCTATAACGGTGAAAAAACAGAAGCAAATACAAGACGAACAACACACTATCATGAAGTAATGAGATTAGGGGCAGTCACTGAAGCTCAAGGAAATTCGGGAAACAGGTGCAGCCAATGTTTGTCTATGCTACATTTGCATTCCTCCACAGTTTCGCATGTTAATAGAGCAGAAATAAGTTTATTCCAAACAGGCACAACCCGATTTGAGTAGATCCTGGCTCATAACTATAGCCTTGATCTATGCTGCTTCAATTTCAAGCAATGGCCCCGCAAGTTGTTTGACGTAGCTCGTTTAAATAGGTTGGTGGGCCTGAGACCACTAAGACCTTTCATGATTTTGAACGTCCCCATTAACTCCTTTCTATATTTACATCTTCTCATTAAGAACAAATCCAAGCTAGTTAACCACTCTTCATACGGCAGTGACTTTATTTAGTGGCGAGTCGCATCCGTCACGTCGCAGTGTTGTTAAACAGAAATTTGTGGCTTTTTATAGGGAGAACACTTGCCAGGCGAAAACCAACCACGTCCTGGAACACTGCCGTCGAACCATTTGCTGGAACAATAAAAACTCGAACCACCCAGCTGGCACCACGATGAGGTTGTTCGGCAAGCGAGCCTACAGCATGGAGAAGCCACATGAAAAAGTTGACGAAACAGTTGGCCTCGGCCGGTTGTTGTCGTCTACCTGGTTGGGGTCCGAGAAATGCGGATACATGCTGGTTGAAGATCTTGGAAGACATGACTCAAGATCGGCGTCAATGGTGTGTTGCAGTGTTCCTTCTTCCTCCCCTAAAAATAGAACAAACTGAAAAGATTTCAAAAACTATGAGTGGTAAACTAGACAAAAAAGCTTTTGTGGTTGCTCTTTTCTTATTGTTCATAATTTTTCCTACTCAGCCATGATTCCGATATCACATTATCTGTACCACTTATTGTGTATTATATATATATATATATATATATATGGCAACCCACGCTGGCCTTCTATCATTCGTGTGGCCAGTCTTTGCACACTCACAATATTAATAATATCTTTATTCAGGTAGGGTGCCCATTCCTGAACACGGTATTCCAGATGTGGTCTGACCGCATCTTTGAACAACGGAAGAAAGACCTCTGGTTTGGTACAACTCAGAACTCTCCTGAGACGAAATAACTTCTGTTGCGTTTTATTAGCCGCATGCCTGTACTGCGTCGAGGACTTAATGTCACTCGTCACGAGGACACCTAGCTCAGGTGCCTTGGTGACATTCTGCAGTGTTAGGGATCCATTAGATGTATGCACTGTATGCGCTTCCTCACTTGGGGTTAAGATTTGATATTTGCTGGTGTTCAGTGGTAAGTCCCACAAATGTACCAATTAAGAACGATAGCAAAATCCCTAGATAAGGAAGACCTGTCTCCCGATTTGACAAGCTTCAAGTCGTCAGCAAACCTATGTGAGGGGACTTTAAGTAGAGGGATCAAGTCATTTATAAACATGAGAAATAACAACGGACTGAGTACAGATCAATTGGGAACTCGACTATGAGCAGTGCATATGCTCGAAGTAACGTCACCAACCCTGACACGGAATGTCCTACCATAAAGGTATGCAGACAGCCAGTTGAGAAGGGATTCCAAACCAGGAGGTCCTTTCCAACAAGAAACGGTGACTCACCGAATCAACAGCTTTACTGAAATCCAGGTAACAAACTTCTACCGGTATGCCATCATCAAGTTATTTCATCAAAGAAACACAGCAGGTTAATAAGACATGATTTTTTCTTGACTAAGCCATGCTGTCCCGCTCTGACCAAGTTGTTAGCAGCAAGATGTTCACAGATTCGATTCCTAATGATCTGCTCTAAACACTTGAGAAAAACACTAGTCAGACTAACAGGCCGGTAGTTATTAAGTATCAGCCTTATGAATCGCCCCTACAACTGCTTCCTTCCAATAGTGTGGATTCCTTCCCTTACGAAGAGACAAGTTGTACAACTCAAGAATAGGAGGCCGGAGTTCTGTTGGCCATCGCCTTCCCAATAGCTGGATGCACATTATCGTGGTCAGATGGTTCGGATGGGTTTCAGTCCTTCAGTAAAGAGAAGACATCTCAAGCATTTTTCACGATTTCGTCACTGTTGCACTGTCTTACGCCAAGCAACAACGGTATTAAAAAAATTCGCCCGCTTGATAAACTCTCTTGAAAACACGCAGCAACTCCTGCGCTATACCAAGGTCTACTGTGGCGTGTTCCACATATTCTGTAAATATTTCGCCAACTACTTCCCTTAAGAATACTTTCGACTGGACGTAGCAGTAAAATCACCTTGCGTAATCGTTTCATTATGCGCAAGCCTAAGCTCATAGGAGTTGTTAGGAGGATAACTTTGACAATGAACAATGAACAATGATTTATAACAGGTAAAAAGCAGGTGCTTGAAATGTCCCGTAGAGTGGTTAGAGTGAGAAAGGATAGATCAAGGGATAATGGAATCGTCGGTTCGGGCGATTGCAGATTTAACTGCTCTGCCATATGAAGCGAGTTCGAGATTAGAATGTGCGCACACAACGCAATAGGGGGCGAGGTTATAGATCACGTAATAAGCGAGAAAAAATAAATATAGCGAGGACAACGTTTACTCGTGTGCAGCTATCTCGGGTCAGCGTGATACAGAAATCCAGTTTCTACAGTAGTAGCGTTTATCAGATTGTGTGCAAGGGGTTTGGACTGACTCATTCTCGAGTAGGGATATGGCACTGTCCACTGTCTGTTTTGCATTAGTGCCAGCATCTGGTTGTCATGGGATATAGCACGTAGTGTAAATGTGACAGAGTATCGTCAAGGCTTTTTTGAAAAGGGATAGGATGGGTGCATTTATTACATGTTCCGGGAGGGCGTTCCAAGGCTGTGACAGTCGAATGGAGAAAACGTTTCGCCGACTGAAATGTCGGCTGTACTGCGTGACCAGCTTAAACTGATGAACTCTTAGCGGGGTGTTTTGACTGAGTATCAGAAAGGAATAGCATGGGTGCTTGGGGTTTCTCAGGATCAGGTACACCACTATTAGATCGCCCCTTAGACGCCGGTAACATCCACTGTATATTTTGAGAGCCTTCAGCCTGAGTGGGTAGGGTTGGCTGGCCAAACCGCAGACGCTCTTCGTTTCCCTATGTCGTGCAGTATCGAGCGCGGTGAGATGGTACTTGAGCCAGGGTTGCCAAGCTTGAAAAGCGTATTCCGCGTGCGGCCTCACGCACGCATTAAGCATTTTTGGAAAGACTGAAGGTTCAAACTTCCCGAAAGCTCTGCGAAGAAGGCCGAGGTATTGGTTTGCTTTCCTAGATGCATTTTTCAGTGTGCCTCAAACAACCAAGGTCATCTTGAACTAGCACGCCGAGCTCGCACACGTGAGAAGCCCGCGGGAGAATTTGTGGTCTTAGGTGATACCTGTGCATACTCGTGTGCCGTATGCTGAGAAATTTGCACTTGGTGAAGTAGAAATGCAGCGTGTTCTCGATGAACCATGTGCACCCTTTATCCAGGTCCTCCTGTAACCCAGTGAGATCCTCTGCTGCAGCTATAGTACGCCATACCTTTAGATCATCACCAAATAGCAAACACTTAGAAGATAGCACGCTCGCGAGATCATTTATGGAAACCAGGAACAGGCGCGGTCGAAGTACAGAAGCCTGAGATACGCAGCACTGAACTTCGATGGATTCTGATAGGTTGATACTAAGCGTCATATTCAGGTGACGTTTCACGAGAAAGTCTCCTATCCAGCCCAGAACAGGTTCGCTGCTTCCATATTTCTGGAGTTTGTGAAGGAGAATGTGATGGTTTAGACGGTTGAATGCTTTTGAGAAATCCACTTAGACCGCGTCGACTCCTACACCAACGTTCACAGATTCTGTCCAGGTAAATGAGCGATTTTGGCGAAATCCATGCTGTTCCGGAACGAGAATTTTGTTGTTCTCCACCTACCCCATTAAAATCTCAGCTACAATGGACTCCATAACCTTGGAGATCACAGGAAGTAGTGTTATCGGGCGATAATTTGCTGGTTCAGCACGGCTGCCACCTTTGTAGATTGGCGTGATGATTCCGTGCTTCCACATCGTGGGGACGTGCATCTCGTTCAAACATCGTTGAAAGGAAATTGCTAGCGGCGCCGCCAAACTCATTCCAGCAACTTTCAACGCTTTCGGGCGAATACCGTCCGCACCCGGGGAGCTGAACTCGCGTAGAGACATCAGCTTCTTCAGTACAGCTGCGGAGGTAAACCATATGTGATTATGCCCTGATGGCGGCATTATCTGTTTAGGCAGGATGTATGATGATTGCACGCTGTGGAAGGTACGGCCAAATTGTTGTCCAAGGACGT